TATTGTTTAGCAGAAAGTACTTCTTCAGTTGATGAATTATCCAACGACTCTTCATTTTTCTTCTTTATTTCAGGTTTTTTCTCTTTTTTAACAGGTTCACGAGATTGCTTAACAGAAAGTATATCTTCAGTCAATGAATATTCCAAAGACTCTTCATTCTTCTTCTTTATTTCAGGTTTCTTTTCTTTCTCTTCAGGCTTGGCAGATGGTTTCACAAAATGTGAATCATCAGTGAGTAGTTTATCTAAAGTTTCTTCAGACTTTTTCTCTGTATCATCCTTTTTATCTTTTAAGTCAATCTCACAATATTGTTTAACAGAGAGTTCATCTTCATCCAATGATTCATTCATAGATTCTTTACTTTCATTCTTCATTGCTGACTTCATCTCAATCTTTTCATGTTCTATAGAAAGTATATCCCCAATAAATGGTTTATCTAAAGTTTCTTCACATTCCTCTTTTATTTCAGCCTTTTTCTCCTCCTCTTCACTATATTCAGTACATGGATTAATAGATTTTGTAACCCGAGTTATTAACCTTCCCAGTGATTCTTCAAGTTTCTCTTTTATTTCAGGTTTATTTTCTTTATCTTCAGGCTTGGCAGATGGTTTGACAAAATGTGAATCACCAGTGAGTGCTTTATCTAAAGTTTCTTCAGTCTTTTTCTCTGTATCATCCTTTTTATCTTTCTTGTCAGTCTCACAAGATTGTTTAACAAAGTGTTCATCTTCATTCAATGATTTATCCAAAGATTCTTCATTTTTCTTCTTTATTCCAGGCTTTATTTCAATTTGATCATGCTCACCAGATGATTTCATACAAAGTATATCCTCAACCAATGGTTTATGTAAAGTTTTTTCACTTTTATCCTTCACTTCATCCTTTTTGACCTCCTCAACAGACTCAGTAGATAGTTTAACAGATTTTGCATCCTCAGTCATTATGTTTCCTGGTGATTCTTCAAGGTTCTCTTTTATTTCAGGTTTTGTTTCTTTCTCTATAGGCTTGGCAGATGGGTTCACAAAATGTGAATCATCAGTGAGTGGTGTATCTAAAGATTCTTCGATCTTTATCTCTATATTATCACTTTTATCTTTTTCTTCAGGCTCACAAGATTGCTTAACAGAATGTTCATCTTCATCCAATAATTTATCCAAAGATTCTTCATTTTTCTTCTTAATTTCAAGATTCATCTGAATCTTATCAGATTCACCAGATGATTTAATAGAAAGTATATCCTCAATCAATGTTTCTTTACTTTTCTCAAGTATTTCAGGCTTTTTCTCCTTCTCAATTGACTCAGTATGTGGTTTAACAGATTTTTCATTCTGAATCATTAAGTTTCCTGGTGTTTCTTCAATTGTTTCCTCTATTTCATCCTTCTCTTTCTCATCAGGCTCATCAGATGGTTTAATAAAAGGTATGTCCTCACTTTTCTCCATTATTTCAGCTTCTTCATCTTTCTCATCAGATTCAAAAAGCATTTTATCTGATTTAATCTCTTTAGTCATTAAGTCTGCCAATGATTCTTCAATTTCCTCTTTTATTTCAAGTTTTGTTTCTTTCTCTTTAGGCTTGCCAGATGGCTTGTCAAAATATGAGTCATCAGTGAGTGGTTTATCTAAGGCTGTTTCATGCTTTTTCATGCTTTTAACAGAAAGTACATCTTCAATCAGTGAGTTATCCAAAGACTCTTCATTTTTCTTCTTTATTTCAGGTTTCTTTTCTTTCTCTTCAGGCTTGGAAGATAACTCAACAAAATGTGATTCATCAGTGAATGATCTATCTAAAGTTTCTTCAGGCTTTTTCTCTGTATCACTTTTATTCTTTATTTCTAGTCTCTTCTCTTTTTTACCAGGTTCGTTCGATAGTTTAATAGAACTTACATCCTCAACCAATGATTTATTTAAAGTTTCTTCACTATTTTCTTTTATTTCAGCTTTCTTCTCTTTCCCAATAGATTCAGCGGATGGTTTAACAGATTGTGCATCCTCAATCATTAAGCTTACCAGTGACTTCTCAAGAGGATCTTTTATTTCAAGTTTATTTTCTTTCTCCTCAGGCTTGCCAAATGGTTTCACTAAATCATGAATTAGTAGTTTATGTAAGGTTTCTTCAATCTTTTCCTCTATTTCAATTTTTTTCTTATTGTCTTCAGGCTCACAAGGTTGTTTAACAGAATGTTTACCTTTATTCAATGATTTATCCAAAGATTCTTCACTTTTCTTCGCTATTGCTGGCTTCATCTCAATCTTATCGAGTTCATTAGATGATTCTATAGAAAGTATATCCTCAACCAATGGTTTATCTAACGTTTCTTCAGTTTTCTCCTTTATTTTAGCCTTTTTATCCTTCTCAATGGATTCAGTACATGGTGTAACAAACTGTGCATTCTCAAACATTAGGTTACCTAAAGGTTCCTCAATTGTCTCTTTTATTTCAAGATTCTTTTCTTTTTCCTCGGGCTTGCAAGGTGGTTTCACAAAATTGTCAATTATTGGTTTATCTAAAGGTTTTTCACTCTTTTCTTTTATTTCATCTTTTTTCTCTTTCTCTTTAGATTTACAAGATTGTTTAACAAAATGTACATCTTCATTTAATGATTTATCCAAAGTTAGTTCACTTTTCTTCTTTATTTCAGCCTTTTTCTCCTTCCCAACAGATTCAGTAGATGGTTTAACAGATTGTGCATCCTCAATCATTAAGCTTCCCAGTGATTCCTCAGTAGGCTCTTTTATTTCAAGTTTCTTTTCTTTCTCCTCAGGCTTGCCAAACGGTTTCACAAAATCATCATTCAGTGGTTTATTTAAAGTTTCTTCAACCCCTTCCTCTATTTCATCCTTTTTCTCTTTCTCTACTGGCTCAGAAGATTGTTTAGCAGAATGTTTACCTTTATTCAATGATTTATCCAAAGATTCTTCACTTTTCTTCCTTATTGCTGGTTTCATCTCAATCTTATCAAGTTCATTAAATGATTCTGTAGAAAGTAGTATATCCTTAATCAATGGTGTATCTAGAGTTTCTTCAGTTTTCTCCTTTGTTTCAGCTTTTTTATCCTTCTCAGTGGATTTACTACATGGTGTAATGAAGTGTATGTTTTCAACCATTAGGTTTCCTAGTGATTCCTCAATTATTTCTCTTATATCAAGTTTATTTTCTTTTTCCTCAGGCTTGCCAGATGGTTTTAAAAAATCATCAATTAGTGGTTTATCAAAAGCTTCTTCACTCTTTTCTTCTATTTCATTCTTTTTCTCTTTCTCTTCAGGTTTACAAGGTTGTTTAACAGAATGTACATCTTCATTCAATGATTTATCAAAAGCTTCTTCACTTTTTTCCTTTATTTTATCCTTTTTATCTTTCCCAATGGATTCAGTAATTGGTGTAACAGAGAATGCATTCTCAACCATTAGGCTTCCCAGAGATTCCTCAACTGTATCTTTTATTTCATTTTTCTTTTCTTTCTCCTCAGGCTTGCCAGTTGGTTTCAAAAACTTGTCAATTATTGGTTTATCTAAAGTTTCTTTACTTTTTTCCTCTATTTCATCATTTTTATCTTTTCTGCCAGGCTCACAGGATTGTTTAAAAAAATCTTCATCTTCATTCAATGATTTATCCAAAAATATTTCATTTTTCTTCTCTGTTTCAAGCCTCTTCTCTTCTATATAATGTTCATTAGATTGGTTAATAGAATTTACATCCTCAACCAATGATATATCTACAGTTTCTTCACTTTTCTCTTTTATTTCAGCCTTTTTCTCCATCTCAACAGATTCGGTACATGGTTTAACAGACTGTGCATCCTCAATCATTAGGTTTCCCAGAGATTCTTGAATTTTCACATTTATTTCAAGCTTCCTTTTTATCTCTTCAGGCTCACTAAATAATTCTACCAAATGTACATCACCAATGAGTGGTTTATCTAAAGATTTATCACTTTTTCCCTCTATTTCATTCTTTATTTCTTTCTGATTAGGCTCATCAGATGGTTTAGCAAAATGTTCATCCTCATTTGATGAATTATCCAAATATTTTTCATTTTTGTCCTTTATTTTAGACTTCTCTTTCTTATATAATCCCTTTTCTGGCTTATCACTATTTAAAGATTCTAACATTCTATCATCTGCAAAACTAATGCGATGAGATTCCAAAGAGTTATCAGGTATATTACAACTGAGCAGAGATTCTACTTCATCTTCAGCTGTAGAATAACTAAAAAGAAATTTCAATCTTTCATCAGCAGTAGAATACCAAGGAAGTGAGTTTGGTTCTTCTTCAGCTGTAGAATATCCAGCCAATGATTCCAGTCTTTCATCAGCTGTAGAATATCCAGCTAATGATTCCAGTCTTTCATCAGCTGTAGAATATCCAGCTAATGATTCCAGTCTTTCATCAGCTGTAGAATATCCAGCTAATGATTCCAGTCTTTCATCAGCTGTAGAATATCCAGTTAATGATTCCAGTCTTTCATCAGCTGTAGAATATCCAACCAATGATACCAATTTTTCATCAGCTGTAGAATATCCAGCTAATGATTCCAGTCTTTCATCAGCTGTAGAATATCCAGTTAATGATTCCAGTCTTTCATCAGCTGTAGA